AATAAAACTATATAATCATTGTTGTGATTTCCTTATTAGCTATAGAAGCAGGCATATGATTTTAATCATCACCTCAGCAGTTTCTGAACTGGTTCGAACCAAAAATTCTAGCTCGAATACAACCAACATACTTCAGGGAGCGCTAGGCACCACGCCTATTCCAGTTTTGCTCCCAAATGTTTGCTCAAGGATCATAAGAACTACTATATACGAGCAACAAGAACTGTATAGAATAAGAAAGTTCCTGCAGTACCCATCCCTTTGATCACAAGTCAGGGAATCTTGTTGGATCTTCACGGTACGAGGTAGGAATGAAAAATAGTTTGTCCGATAGATTTGACACAAACTGAAGTTTTTGGAACGTGACCTTTGCCGAAATCGTTGGTAAGAGCGGAATCTCTAAAAAAAGGTTTATATCAAGAATATTATGTAAGGTTACAAAAAGTTAACTGATAGGCTGATAAGAACTGACCGACACGAACTGGGAACCCAGGTGGTAGTCTTGCTTCGCAAAATCGGCGCAACTTCTCAAGATGTTTGAACGGAGCGACAATTTCAAGGATGTCCAGTAACACATCAACATGCATTGGGAAATCTTCGCTCTGAAATGCAAGATAATCGTTGAAATTCATATTGTATAGTTACTACACCGACTCTGTAGTATTATTGGACCTTACCATGCCAATGATCGCAGTAAAGTTTTTCTCGTTCTGCTTCAGGATTTGTGCTCTACCCAAAGGCGGTGCTGCGCCGGGAGCAGCACCAACATATTCTTCCCAAGTTGTGGGCATACGACCAGGAGGAGCCAGAGATTTTCGGTGTTGAAGACTCTAAAAGAAATTGCGCAATAAAAACTATAAAAACAAGAAAGTTTAAATTAGATGGTTCAAGAAGAATGAGGTTGGGACATGTGAAAGAAATTTCTACCTTGAAATCCTCATCACCCACAGCAGCACCGCTTGCCAAAGACTGCATAAAAGACTTGTTCTTTTTGATGTCATCGGCGGTAAGATGTTCTCGTCTTTTCCGCGAAACTAGTTTCATCCCGTCAACGAGGTAAAAGTTCACATCATAGTCACCGATTCGTTCCTAAAATAGTGATGCAACGATATAAATATCCAAAAATTCGAAACTACTTAGGAAATTGGATCAGCCTGAATTATACAGCTCAGTGAAAATGCAAACTGAGAGAAGGATATAGCTTCCCTAGGAAAATGTTATCTTTTTCTCCTCCTCTATGTCAAAGACAATATTTATAAACTGTAAAATATGCTAAAGCAAACTTGGTTGTACCTCTCTTGCGTGTTTGAATACCCATCCAGAAAACGCTTGTCGGAATGTTATCGTCTTCGTGGACATCTGAAACTTCACGAACTTGTCATCACTTAGAAGGAGATACGGTATAAAGACGAACTTCAGTGATATAGCACAGAAGTTAGAAAACTGCCTTACAAAATTCTCGTTGAAAACGCAAAAAATGACTAGACTTAAGTTTGAATGCTCTTTTAGAAATACACAAACAAATGACATACATTGCCGCGGACGTCAGGACACTTGAAGTGTAAATATTTGCGACAAACGAACCTGAGCAGATACAATGTCCGATGACATGAGAACATCAACTTCTTCGTCTACTTCGGCTTCAGATTCATCGTGGCGAACACGTTGAAAAACCTTCAAAAATTCTATGGTTGCAGAGAACAAAGAGGCATGTAAGGAAAACACTTTAAAAAAAGTATCTGCGTACTTTCGCATTGTTATCCATTATTATTAATTCATCGGATTCATGCTTGGCTTTAGCGTTGAAGACAAAGGAGATATCACCTCGTTCCCAACGTCGTTCACTGCAAAAGAACTGCGTGAAAAAGTACAAAGGGGAGTGACTTTTTTGTGACATGAACTGACTGCTCTTTCACAAGCTTGAATTATACGATAATTCCTACAAAAAGTTTTGAGAAACATCGACAGAAGTTAGAGCTTTTTCGATTGGGGTACAGTATATGGGATGGAATAGGCCACTATGCATTACGGTCATGCAACAGAACGCTGGCTGTTATATATGCCCCCCAGGAACACGAAATGACGGAGTGCATGAATTAAAGGCAGCGGCTCGAGAAAATCGCAACTGCGGGTTTTTCACACTTTTTCACACTTTCACACTT